TCGGCAACTCCAATACCGTACACGTGCACCCCTACCCCGCCTCCCCCTCGTATAGCACCACACACGTTTACGCGTATATATTACCAGTTCCCTCGTTGCCAGTTGGGCAAAACTCCTCGTCATCCCCGCCGACCTCGCATTTTGATGAGCCGCGAAAACGTCACGGGGCCATTTCGGCCGGCCAACGTTATATATGTATACGTCTCCTAATAAAGTTTCCGCCGGCCAAATTTTCCGTCGCGCGTAATAGGTACATATACACCCTACACGCGGCTTTCCCCCCTTTGATTTTTTTTTCTCTTTCCTCGTCGCGCGTGAAATACATGCATAAACGTCAGGATGGCACCGGACATTTTACGGCGCAAATTATTCCTGCCGGTCCAGCTTTTTCGATTACCCGGTCGTCGCGTATATGCACCGGTGATGACGACGAGTGCCCTCTGCGGGAGTTTTCAGGGTTGAGGCGCAACAATGCTGTATATATGTGCAGGACGCACACGCGCGCGCGGCTTTAATTTGAATAATGTATTTTCTTGCCCACCCGCGCCACACCGGACGAGATGTGGACGTGATGGAAGTTGACGTGCCCGACGCGCGCAATGTGATTTTCGACCTCTTTCCCGACTCGCTCTCCGCGCCATCGCTGCTGGTTATTGGGTTATTGTACGGCCGCGCGCGCGGACCATTGTTTTGAATGAAATTTTCGAAATGGACCGGCTCCCGCGATGATGGCCAACGGGTGTACGACTACACGTTTTGCGGGTATACACGCGACAAAATTTTCTCATGCAACTCGTTTGGTGCAGTACGTGCAGTACTTTTTTTTTTTTTTTTTTTGATTCCTCATCGATTGAAAATCATGACTCGTGTCCGCGCACTTTCTGGTAGAAGTAACGCTATGGTCACCTGTACCTCATTTGACTTGGGGGGTAGTGGTAGCGGTACCATCACGACCCACCAGTAGATGATGGCCGAGTAAGGTAAGACCCACTTTCCAGAAACTCGCTCCGTGGGGGCGCGCGAATGGCATCGGCAACAGAGTTCGTATGAAGCCCAGCAGCGCAAGGAATGCGCGCAGCCGAGCATAGAGAGACACACGTGCGCTCGAGCTTGTAAGATGAAGCCAAAGCCGAGAGCGAGGGACTATATGGACATGCAAAGAGGGGAGGGGGGAGCGACAAATCAATGGGGGGTTGGTTGGTGTGGTTGTAGTAGTAGAGCCTCGTGCAAGCTCGCCTATCTTATCGAGGCATTATTCAGACGACGAAAGCGTATGAGAGGACGAGGTGGTGGCCCCCCCCCCTCCTGTATGTAGTCCACACGCACACACACACAGAGGGAGCGAGAGAGAGAGAGAGAGGAAGTAGTCCTGCACGGGACTCTAACTGCCTGCATTTGCATAAATCCATCGATCTTGGGGGAGCTGCTGGACTGGAGTTCAGGGATGGGGGATGGCCGACTAGCCACCGCTGGAGGCTGGATGGCCCGTCTATCCATCTCGCTGCATCGCATACAGCAAATTACGCCACCGCCGGACGCCCGCCTGTTAACTCGCACCCCATACCCAGCTCTTTCTCTCTCTCTCTCTCTGCTACCCATCGGAGGTATGGGGAGGAAAACGCATATATATATATACGTACGCACACGCGTACACGGTTGGGTGGTGCGCGAGCGGATTCCCTTTCGGTCTCCGATACTCGCCTGCAGTCCTTGGTATATTATAGCGGGCGAGCTGGGCTCTGTGCCCACCTGCACACGGCGGCGACCACCTATTGTACCTGTCCATTGCAGAGCTTGCATCTGTACCCTGTACCAAAGCGCCCGGCTCTCCCCTGCGCTACTCCATACTACACGATCCCTTGGGTATCGTTGCTGTAATTGTGCCGGTCTACAGCTGTTCGGAAGCCCCCTATACACACATAACATACATACCCCTTCGAGCTTGTATACTTATACACCGATTGGAAGAGCTCTGCGAGTGCACATGTTGCTTTGCACGGTGTAAGAACAGGTGGAACTGCGATTGACGCGCTTTTCTTCTTCTTCTTTTGACAGCTGTCGGGAAATATCGAGCTGGATGATGCTCGCGATCCGCGGAAAAAGGATATACATACGGGGGTGATGATGAACGCGACGGGAGGCTCTCGTTTGATACCTCTACGCTCTTCCACCGATTTCCATCGGAGCTGAAAACAAAGTGACACGTTGTGCTCGCGCAAACACACTCTCTCTCTCTCTCTCTCTCTCTCGCTGTTTTCCTCTTTTTCGGTGGTAATGCCAGCGGCGGACCCGGGATTTTCTGTCAAATGCAGGGGTTATACAGTTTATATACGCGGGCTATGTTTCGTCCCCGCGCACTTTGTCTCGTGTGGGTGGGTGTAACGCACGTACGAAATTGTTTGTATTAATTATGGTCGACCGCCGCACCGCGAGAGAGAATACACAGCCTGGAATCGACGAGCGAGTTGTATGGTGGGAGGGGGGGGGGGGTAGGAGGCATGTCAAAGGAAATAATGAAAGTAGTTTTGATAATGCTCGGTTCGGTTTGTAATGGGCGATCAGCAGCACCGATATTTATTGTAATGACGGAGGTACATTATCGGATGGGTGCGTGGGTGTGTATACTGTCAGGCTCACGCCGTGCCGGTCGATTCATTTGTTTTTCCGATCGGAAAGTATTCGAGCCTGTGTGTGTGTGTGTATGTGTGTGTGTGTGTACGGTGGGGACACGCGGATGTGAATGTGATGAGTTATTTTGCTGGAGTGCTCGTGTTGGCGAAATTAATCGTCGATCGTCTCCGTAAATAAAATAAAGCCAACTCAAAATTCATTGGAAGAAAAATAACTTGGACTGGTTCTTTTTTTTTTTTTTTTTTTTTTTTTTTTTTTTTTTTTTTTAAAAAAAAACCCCCATGGGTTTTTTTTTTTTTTTTTTTATTAAAAACAACGTCCAATGGTTGTACTGTCATATCTTTGAATTTATTAAAAAAACAACGTTTCAGTCCTCATCAGCCCCACAAAAAGTTGGTGTATTAAAAGTATTTGATGGTATTTTTTTATATTTGCAGTACTGCTATTATAGTTGCAAGATAAACCAATTGCTGAGTATCGTTTGACTATCAAATCGCTCCAAGGATTATTGACGAATCAGAGAATTCGTAACCATTTAACATAAAATTCTTGGGTGAAAATGATGATGAAACTACTTATGAACATTTTAAACCGTACTTCAGGATGACTTTGTCTAATCACGTAAAAAATAGAAAAAAAAATAAAATAAAAAATAAGAAAAAATGTCTCTGTGTGAGTTGTTTTCTTCAATGTAGCTGTTACTCAACTGCAATATTTTGAATTGTCGTAAGGAACATCCTTGTACTCGATGGAGAGCAAACTATCGGAAAGTATCAGCGATTTTCCTACACACGTATACATCCGTATACGTATCCAAACAACTGAACCTGTACATCAGAGCAGTGTAGAGCACAGATAACGACTGCGTCTTCCTTTACCCGAAAAAAAGTGAGGGGGGGGGAGGATGTTTCGCATCTGCACGGCATGTATTATCGGCTTCTCCGCCCACGCCTCGGTTCGACGAGCGTCGACAGTATTTTACACGCATCGAGGCATCAAAGAGCAGCTCGCCTTTCGCGACAGCGATTTTCAATTACGGCCGATTCCTCCGGTATGCTATGCTGCGATGCAGGGGGTAGGTGAACAAACAGACAAACAAAAAAATAGGAGCGAGGGTACAGTGGAGAGTAGAGCCGGGCGGTGAAAAATTCGAAATGAATATCGTGCCTTCCTGTTGTTGTTGCTGGTACTGTTGTTGGTGCCGAGGATTACAGAGAAAAGCGTACACGCATCGACGCGATTAGTCGACAGTTCGTTTTACAAGGTGGAAAACTCGTACCTACGTTTGCTACTCCCACATCTAGTTTTGTTTGTCATTCGTGTAGGTCTACGGACGTGGATTCGTGCTTATCGATTGAAAAAACAACTCCCAGGATTTTCTAGTTTTTTCTCTTTTTATTGTACATCCTTGTGCAAATTATCCCTCGTCTCGGGGTGTTGGTACGAAATTCAAATCTACCATACTTTTTGTGACTCTTTGATTTTTTTGTCCACTTGAACTATCAGATTTTTTTTTTTTTAATTAACATTTGCAACTACTCAATTTTGAAATCATAAAGATAGTACCGAAATATACGTGTTGGTTGTAAAAAAATTATATTACCTGCGGGTGTTTATATTCAGGTAAAATTTTCCCTTCCCGTGCAATTTTCTGTATTTGACACCATAAGATTGAGATACCACATATAAAAAAAGAGAGGTCAAACCGATAACAACTTTTTAATAGGGTACAGGATTTTTTGTTGCAAAAAAAAAAAAAAAAAAAAAAAAGAGGTACTACCGAGGAACACTCGTACCTAAAAACCACGCGCCAACGCTCGTCAATAAGTCAGTCAGAGAGATAACTACCCGAGAATCAAGGCAGGCATCAACTTTTGCTCGACTGCACCGTTCACTTTCCTTTTTTCGCTCTTCATCGAGCTCCCCTCGAAGAACACACACACACACACACACAAGCAAAGACCAAGCAATTTAAGGAGGATATAAGAGAAAGAGAGCCCCGGGGCGTACGGATCAGCCGCGTAATCCACCAAGGGATACCTCATTCTCTCCTCTTCGTCCCAACCATATATCTACTCCCTTGTATCTATATGCACTTCTCCCTCACTACCAGTTTCTCGTACATCCTCGGCGTAAACCACTGCTACTAGAGCTTTCTCCTTCCGAAGGTATCGCTGTATTGGCGTTTCGTCCAATCCATCAAAAATCATTACCTCTTGTCCGAAAAATACAAGAGGCGACGAGCGAACTTTTATCTAACGGTCGCACACAACATTCGCAAATCGGCAGCTGTAATCTGTTTCTGAGCTCGGGTAATAAATATTCATTGCTTCGAGAGCGTATGCGTGCGTATACGAGGTAGTGGGGCTTGGAGACTCGATCCAGTTTCAGCTTGATAATCATTTTGTGCTCTTTAGTCGTTGCTCGTGCGTCAAGCAGTTACACATTTCGCTCGACGTTACGCAATCATCTCTACATCATTGAGTTGGATATTTTTTATTTTTGTGCGCCAATCGTTGTTGTGTGAGTGTCGAGATAAGCTGACATTAGTTTTTTTAGTGTTGTGGAAAAACACAGTCTGTTTTGTTTCAAGTTTTTTAATTCTTAGTTTTTGTTTCATTAGAAAATAATGGTGAACAAAAATTCTAAAATAACGATAATTTAAATCTGATAAGAGATACACAGATAAACTTTAATTTTTACACGCATGAACTTATTATGGACGCACTTATAGTGGTAGGTGAAAAAAAATAAGCAAAAAACAAATTAATTACGTATTTCAAAAAAATTGCTTACTCGAGTAATGAGAATCATATTTTGCCTTGGTAATTAAAGAAAAATGTTATCCGTACGTTATGCTGTAATAAATCATCCTGGTATGTAATTATAGTGTTTATAGCTTGCAAGACCAGTAGCTCAAGATAATTATAAGAGAAAAAAAACTCGCATGTCACATGTCCAACCTACTTAAACGTACCTTTGGTTTGATTTTCGCAATCTTGAAAAATTTACGTCGTCGAGTATAGTAGTTGATCTGCGAGCCAATGAACTGTGAAGTCTAATGGGCACTACAATTGATAATAAGTAATGCAAAGTATGCGATAAGTGTAAAAATTTTCTCGCTGCTTTGGGCAGTTTATATAATGATCACTAAATAATCTTACTTTTGAATTAAAAAGCAAAGTTATTCCCACAGCTGAATTAATTGAAAACCATCGAAGCAGCTCCAAGTCCACCTACGAGTGACTTTGAAATAAAAAAAAAAAACAAAAAAAAACAAATGGATCGTTGGATAGGCAAAACCGCAGTGGTAACTGGCGCTGCGTCGGGAATCGGTGCATCGATCGGCAGAAGCCTCCTCCTCGCCGGCGTCAACGTCGTTGGACTTGACGTGCAGATCGAGCGTTTGCAGCGTCAAGCCGTGGAGCACCAGAAACTACGCATAGGCGACTCCAAGCTGGGCAACATGTACGCCGTCAAGTGTGATGTTTCACGCGAGCAGGACATTTCCAAGGCCTTTGACTGGATTGAGCTCAATGTTGGCTGTCCACATATTCTCGTGAATAACGCCGGAGTCACTGACTACACGCCCCTTGTTGGTGAGGATTTTTCTAAAAACTACGCCTCCATATACGTACACTCGTATGTAATTGTATATGTACGTGCGATTCAAGCAGTGCTGCTTCGCATAAAAAAAAAATTGCTTGGCGAAATAATAGTTTAGCAACGCGGGAGTGCCCTGGAGCAAAATTGCTTGTGATCATTATGTCGTAGGTGCACAGTAGTGGCAGTAGCGTTCCCCGAGATTTTGCGCGTCCTCGTTTTTTGTCGCTTGAAAAATTCCCTCGAGGGGACTCCTCTTTATATACTTGCACATGTTTCAAGACAGCTCACCCTAAAAAATTGTACTTACGAGGCGTCCAACTGGTAATTTACCGTGAGGCTGGTGTTTATTGATTCCCTCTCTGGCTTTGAATGCAGCAGGTGAAATTAATTTTGCCACTTGTATCCGTGCGAGTGGTTTCGTAATCGGCAAGGCTAATTGAGTCCTTGCCTTTCTAAGTGGACTCGTTTTTTTTTTTTTTTTTTTTTTTTCAACTTTGTCGGTCAAACGTTATTTTTATCGTTTTTATCACGTACCAACGGGCTTGTTGATTTTTAATAAGCACACTTACGAGAACCGGATGGAAAAGTAATGTTTTAATTTCTGATGGAAATCAAACAAAATCGCGCTCCGTGATGTCGAGCCTTTTTTTTCAACCTTTGCGAATAAGAAACTTTGTTAAACGAGGTGTGTATTGATGGAATTTTTTACATTTTCTGTTGCTTCATAACTTTTCCAATTAAAAGTTTGTAAACTCACTTTAATAAGTCACGATAAAAAATTATTTTCTCAGTAAACATAGTGTTTTCTATGAAAGAGCCAATGAATATATCGGTACAATACTTGTCTTTATAAGTGGTAAACTATTGCCAATAATTTTTAAATATCTCTTGATTTATATGCTTACACATTTAGGTTGTATCCAATGATAAAATTCACCTTGTGGTGTTTGTATAGGAATTAGCATTCGCGAAGAGTTCGCATTGAGATATTAACAAATGACCATCATAAATACTCGATTGTCCCATTGTATCATAATCATTCATCACCAACAATTAGACGAGTGCAAACAACAATGCATCTAAATTAAATAATATTGTCAATATTTTTGTCTCTTTGCACGTACGCACTTGTACCTGCACAATACACATGGGCACATGCGAATCAGAGAGCGACAGAGCATCTTTCGAGAGGTTGATAAACATCAATGTGCTCGGGGTGGCAAACTGCACCTCCAAGGCGGTACAATCGATGCGAAATCACAAAGTTGAAGGACACATCTTCAACATCAACAGGTACGAAGTTTTCTCTTTTTCTCCGCCCACCCCTTAAACTGTCGAGGTTAAATACGAGTGGATAAAATGGAAGAAAAAAAAAAACCTCCACGTTACAGCATATTAGGCCACGAAGTGCCCGAGGGAGTGTTTTCAGAGCAAGCTGGAGCTAACGGCTGGAGTCTCTACCCGGCCAGCAAACACGCGACCGTTGCAATGACCCACACCGTTCGCCGGGAAATCAGTCGTCTGTCCCTCCCCATAAGAATCACCGTGAGTGTGCAAAAGAAAAGTTACACCTTCGAGAACAATGCTTTTTTTTTTTTTTTTTTTTTTTTTTTTTACGTTTATCATAGGAGGGTGTGTTATTGTTGCAGAGCATCAGTCCAGGTATCGTGAGAACCGAAATAACAAAGTGCAACGAGGCACTCAGCGATTTGTTTGACAAAGTTCGGGCCCTCGAACCGTCAGACATTGCCGATGCCCTTCTGTACGCTTTGGGTACTCCACCGAAAGTTCAGGTACGATAATTACGTTATGTATTCGCTTCTTAGGTGTATAGGTGTATATCTCATGCCAAGTTACTTAATTGTTGCTCTAAATTTATGTTTTAGATCACGGAAATGACTGTCAGATCCACGGGAGAGCTATGAATTTTTTTTTTTTTTTTGGTCAGAAGATTAAAGATGAATCAAGATTCAAACCATAATGTTGCAAAAGACGTTACCTTCTCATTACAAATAAAGTTTTTTTTTTTAATACTTGTATAAAAAACGGTTACAATAGATAAAATAGTACACGCGAATAAAGCGTCTGTGTACATTTCATTATCGAGAGCCAAGCGCTCATATTCTTCCACTCGGCATCGGACATTCTCTTTCTCTGTAACGCCCGTATCGACATTTTAATGTCGGATTATTATCAGAATTTGTGACATGGCAGCGAATAAAATGGATGTTCGATAATTGACTGGTACAAGCGATACAACTAACGGATGGCTCACTGATCGCTTTTGTCTTATTCCTTTTTTTCTTTTTCCTTGTTTGAGTTTCGATGGTTTGTTCGTTTGGAAGCTGAAATCCATTGGCATAGCTTGTAACGAGGGTACAGAGGTGATAATACAAAAAACTTGTAGCACACATTAATGTACAAACTCAGTTAAAAGAGTACGTTTTAAATCAAGATTTTTCAGCTCCAAAAGTTTCAACCAGGTAAGCCTATCAACGGCTACAGGAAAACTGGTGATAACGTAAACTGTTCTACCGCAACAGGACAGTCCTCTGAACCTCGTACTAAAAACAAAGAGTACATCTTTTCAAAAAATTTCACCTTTAAGACAACGGATGGATCCAAATTTAAAATCAGGTGCACCAGAGTACGTATAAGGCGAGCTCTCGTCCCGGCAGTCCTTCGTGCAGAAAAGTAAACTCGGGAAGCCGAGGGAAAAAGCTCGAGGAAAGAGTCCGCAGCCACTGACAGCAGCAGCACTCGGATAGTGCCGGAAACAAAGAAGGAGAAAAAGAACGCGAGGACGAAGACAAAGAGCGCAGGGGGGAGGGCCCCGACAGTGCATAAAATCGACGGAGACGGCTCGGAGAAGGGAAGGAAAGCCCATCGCTTCCACGCGCTTGTGTGTACAACGTACACGTACGCGTGTACCGCGGGGTGCATATATATATATGTGCTTGCTCTCGAGGCACGTTTCCACGTAACGACCGATCGTTCTCGTAACCACCTCACGAGGATCGAAGGACACACACACACATACGTACGTACTTACACGCGTGTGTTAAGGTGAGCTTGCAAGCTCTCATACCACCCTCCCCCCCTTAGACCATACACTTTTGTTCTCTTAGGTGGTGTGTGCGCTACTGTTGTACCTATCTTCTTGCCTTGGTCTAAAAGCTAGGAGGGAGATTGTCTAGCCAATCGCTTGTATTATCGTGTACGTGAAGTGTTACAAATTTGGATGGCTGCGGGACGATTACGTTTCCGACCCTTCTCGGGAAATTCAATTTAAACGACGAGATTGGAGATATTTTCGCTGGCGCATGGAGATGCAAGTGGTTGCTGGGAACGCGAGGCTGCGTATACCTATGTATTAGTCGGATGGTACGTGACTCATTTTTTTTTTTTTTTTTTTTCACAATGAAAATTGTGACATTCTAATGTGGAAAAATTATAAATTAATGAATCAGATACTCCTCTTCTTTACTTCTTTCATGATAATACAGTAAGGGTGCCAAACAGTTTAATCTACCTGGAATCAAGTCAATTCATACTTACAACGATCTAATATTTAGCTTTAAAGTCTTAAGACTCAACTTCTATAGGTTCTCCGTCCCTAGTCTTTTTTTTTTCTAAAAAAGAAAACTACTAGGTCATCCCTAAGGGAAGCTCGATGACCACTCCTCTTTACATGGCTCCATTTTTTCATAGTGTGACGTATACAGACTTCGGAGAGAGTGGAATAATTTACTATCCGCAACTATACAAGGATTGCTTCACCTGATCTATTTGAATATCACTAACTTTTTGTCTAGTGATTAATTAACTTGTTGATATTTATTATCACTTGATGCCTTTTTATTTATCATTGTTTATGCTTTTTGTTTTCTTTTTCACACAATATTATTATTTTCGTATTTAATTTAGGGCTTCCCTCGTTTATAAATAAATAAAAGATTAGCCAGACGATTGTATCGTGAAATTTTGGGGGTCAAATTGTAAAATGCGAGTTAAAATGATTGCTTTGGTTGGTGGTGCGGTGCGCAATATCGTCAAGTAAGAACAAATTAATCATTCATATTTGTCAATCCGTCTGTTGGACAGCTGTTTCACGCAACGTACGGTATATCATTTTATATCTGATTTACATAATAAATACGATATTCCACAAGAGTACGCGTGTACTCATACGTGTAATAGTGAGATCTTGTATATTCGAGGCACGCAATCACAGTTCCGAAATTTTAAAGTCAGAATTGGAAGGTTTGTGATATTACATTCCTGCCTTTTTAAAAAAATTTTGTTTTTGTTTTTTTTGTTTTTTGTTTTTTTTGTTTTAACAATCTGTAGGTGGATAATTTTGATGTGTTAAATTTGGTTCAAAAAGAGTTTAAATGTTCGTGTAATATATGTCAGAGGAAGGGGTAAGAGAAGCTCCATATAAGTATACTTACTTTCGGAAACACTTGCAATAAAATAGAGTGACAATAAAGAAGTTTTTCAGCGATGCGTTAAGAAATTTTCAGCGCATAATGTAAACCGAAGTTTCGAAATGGAAAAAAGGACCATTAAAAAAATTGCGAACACGAGGTATCCGCAAACAAAAAATGAGCTGCATTGAGATGATGAGTAGACCAAAGTACGTGTGGGGTGAGTCGTTGCATGGATTTTAGAAAAAAAAATTGCACACAGTTATTGCACATTGGATATTTTCTTCAACGAAAAATATTGATGTACCGAAGGAAGCTTTAAGACTATAGTTGAACAAGACATTCGTATACAGAAGCCTCTGCCATCGACGATTCATTTAATGACATCGTTTGGGTGAAATAATTCTTCCAGCACGGCGACAAGGTACAGGTTAACGCTCGATAAATTTTCTCAGTCGCTGATGCGAAGAGTTTAAAACCCGCGATTCCCCACTTCGCAGCGAATTTCCATATAAATTTTCAAAATTCTCGAGCCGTTGCTACACAAGAGGGAACGGTGTAAAATCCAATTAGCCCCGTTCCCAGATTAAGCTAAGAACTCGGGAACACAACTTTCTTCCCCCTCGAACGCCCAACCGGGGCTGCACGAGCTGGACCAAAAATCCTAATTAGGCCGCAACTGCGAGAAATTCAATTTTCCACTCGTCATCACTCGCTGCTATATGGTTCCGTAAACACACGTACCCTAGGTGGGAAACTAGAGCGAAAAGTATCAAAAGTTAGGCTAAATATATATGTATATATATACGTATCCGAATTAGAAACCGAGGATCCAAAGAGCGGAGCGTCTCTCCGATGTTTGTGTTGTATTCGTGCGCTGAATAAAATAGAGGGAGAGATAGTAACTCACTTGGCTTGACAAGGCCTCTGTACACTTTCCGTGATGAGTAGACGTGAGACGACTCCACGTGCACGTGGAACTATTTGTATTGACTGTGCATCAAACGAGAAACACAACTAATTTGCAGGTAAAACAAAAATTAAGACTTTTTTCCAGTAGAACGGGTCGATTTTGGTCAGACACAAGCGTTTGGTTGTTTTTTTTTTTTTTCACTTTGATATCTTTGATATTAAACTTATGAATAAAAAATACAATTGATGGCCGTTATCTGGCGAGTTTTTAGCTTTTACACAAAGTTTGGGAACGTTGCTGAGGAATTTGGGATAAATATAATTCCTTTCGAGTAAGAGTCCCGATAGACATTTGCGAGCAATATTAAGCTCGTCGTGCTGTCAATGGAGTAAAAGGCATGTACGCTGTGCAATATAACGGAAGAGATGGGGGAAGGGGGGGGGGAGTAGTGGAGTGTAACACCTAAGGTACAAAGGCCCCTGGGCTTGTAAACACGGCGGAGAGGAGAGAGCAAGAGTGTCCCCGTCTTCTCCGGAATAAATCATCTCCTCTCGCTGCTGGAGTGCGCCGCGCAAAAGCTGGTGAGAAAAATTCGCCGTACAACAGAAGCGGAGGAGGAAGAGGAGTAGTGGCGCGCTACTACTGCCACCGACTCTGTATGCAAGCTCTTTACTTGAGAGGCTGCTGCTACTAGCTCGCGACGAAAATGCCTCGAGTACGAAAAGCGCGTCCTCGATTGAGTGAAAAATCGACTCCTTTTTTTTGTTTTCTCTCTTTCAAACTAGACGCTCGCGAGAGCTTATAATACATCAATATTGATAGTGGCTCTTTCCCCCCCCCCCCCCCCCCCNCCCCCCCCGGGAAATGCTCTCGATGCCCCGCGTTGGAGTATTTTTTATTTGTCCTCCATTCTTCGAGCGTAGCGTTAAAACGGAGATTGGTGGAAAAGACCTGACGGGCCCCGATATGAAAGTACCAAACTGCGAACCGTGTACTTTTTATACTCTAGAGTGCATTGTTGAAAAAAAAACAGCACGCAGCTCAGTTCCTCCGAAAAAACAAAATCATTTCCCCTGCCTGGACGCGCGCAAAAAGCACGTCCCGCTCGCGTCGTATTTACATCCAACGGAGCGAAAATCAATAGCTTACAAATCCGGATTATCCACGAGGATGGCTGCTGTTGCTCTCCGGAAGTCGCGGAAGGAAAAGGACAGTGGATTCGGAGGCCAAAAGCGAGACGGATGAGCACGCAGCAAGGAGGGGTGGGGTATTAAGACGGAGGCTCGAGCCGTTGATTTGCCGGAAGGTGATTATAAATTGAGAGAATATCCCCGGTCCACGCCGGAACAGCTGCAGTAAACAGAAACAGGATCCTTCCGGGATTAAATCCTAAAGGAGAAAGAGGACATTTTTGCCTTTCCTCGATACTTGTTGTCATTGCGATCCAAATGATAACAATTAACGCCCTGCTAGTCATTGAGGGCTCATAGACTTGTTGACACGATGTTGAACATCTCGTGGGGATAACTAACGGAAGGAGTTGGCGTCGAAGCATTGGAAAACAAGAAAAAAAAAGAAAAAAGATGACATTTATTGAAAATCTCGGGATGGACGGAGGCAGGAGAGTTTGCGCGAAAGAGTCGCTCGTGTGATTGACGGAGCTTAATTGAAATACGCTCCATTCGATTAGAGGCCACGCGGAGAGGGACGATATACCGAATAATCGCGTTGCGCCGAAGCGAGCCCCGGCCTTAAATTACCCTCCCCCCCCCTTACCCGGCGCGTCCAATTCACTCTCTCCCTGTGCCGTGGTAGCGAAACTTTTGTTAAAGTTGTATGGAGCAAGCGAGAGCTGTTCTGATCGATTTCGAACTTGGAGACTGGATTAAAGCCGGCCTGCTGCAACACGCCCTGCCCCAT